CGAGGTTGAACATTAATGTTCACTTGTTGCAGAATTGCTTCGCAGTCGATTCTTCCTTGCAGAGTATCGGCGACGGTTAAGGCTCTGAAAACATCTCTTCGGATACGTAAGGGCTCGATATTGATCAATTGGCAGCGATTCTCGTAGCTTGGAAGACGAAGTGGGTATCTCCAAGGCAGCTTACGGAGCGCGAAGCGAAGAAAACGTCGTTGAACAGATTCAATTCGCTCGGCCCCATTATTGTAGTTCGGGCTCCAGACAGCAGAGCAGTATTCCAGCGTAGATCGTACGAGAGAGCAATAGAGCGATTTCAAGCAGTAAATGTCCGTGAAGTTCTTAGTAATCTTGAAGACAAAGCCAAGCGTTCTGGACGCTTTGTCGACGACATACGATATATGGTGTGAGTATGTCAGCTTTGAGTCTAGAAAAACGCCTAAGTCTTTCACGCAGTGCACCCGTTCGATAGTCGTGCCTAGTAGTTTGTAGTTGAAAATAATCGGTTGTTTTTTGCGTGAGAAAGTAATAACTGTACACTTAGCTGGGTTGACCACCAGTCGGTTTAGACTACACCAGTCAGCAAAGATGTCAATCTGATTTTGGAGAGAACGGCAGTCGGCGAGTGAGCGGATGCGCAGAAAAACTTTCAGATCGTCTGCAAACGATAATCGTGGCTCTGTGATAACATGGTGAACGTCGTCGAAGTAGAGGAGAAATACCAATGGTCCCAGATGGCTGCCCTGAGGTATACCGGACTTTGCGCAGAAGCTTGCTGAGCGACAAGTACCCAAAGTTACTGTCAATTGGCGCTCCGTGAGGTATGAACGAAACCATCTCAAAAGATTTCCACCGATCCCTAGCCTATCAAGCTTAGCGATCGCAATTTCGTGGTTCAGCTTATCGAAGGCTGCCGTAAGATCTGTGTAGATAACGTCCGTTTGGGTCCGAGCAATCAAACTGTCTGTGATGTAAGACGTTAGGCACAGCAGGTTCGTAGTTGTGGAACGCCCAGTTATGAATCCGTGTTGATCTGTACTTAGATATTGCCTGCAATGCGCATTTAGGGACTCTATGACAACCAATTAATCATGTTTTGTTGTTTTTGACATCATCCACATCCAGAGGGCCAGTCACTTCGAATGTATGGGAATGGTAGGAAACCATTTGGAAATGCATGAGAATTTTCAGTTTTTATTCATTATCGTCTTTATGGGCAGTTTTAGATGCACAAAAATTGCACTAGTACATTACTATGGTGATAAGGTAAACACTCGTTTATTTGTTTCCTTCTGTGAAAGCATATTTAGTCACAAATCGTGGATTTTCTGATATTCTCCATACTGCAAAAATGATTTTCCTACCACTGAAGGGGCGACATCTCTCGGATCTTCAGTATACCTACTACTCGAATCATATAATTAATTCAAAAAGTTTTGATACAGCACTCAGCGATGTGATTCCTCGGTAGTTGTTTACGTCGCGTTTGCTTCCCTTTTTATGAACAGGAAACACATCTGCAGTCTTCCAGCAAGACGGAAAGATGCCGCTGGAAAGAGAGAGCTGGAATATGCGGCGCAGTGGATCTAAAAGACAAGTGATGTTCTTTTTAAGAATAATCGACGGAACACCATCGGGTCCAGCCTTAGTTGAAGTCTTAAGTTTAGATGCTGCTCTAGAAATCGTATCTGTAGTGGCTTCGACCATGCTGAGCGTTTGGTTGATCAAAGGAACATTACTGGCCGCGGAAGTAATGATATTAGCGGAGAGTTGCTCGGCTACAAACACACTAGCAAATTTGGCTGAGAACAGGTTGCAAATGTCTTGTTGATTTCCAGCAGTTTCACCATTAAAAATCATGGAAGAGGGTAAGCCGACTTCCCTGCGTTGCTCATTTACGAAGTTCCAGAAGGATTTCGGGTGTGATTTTAGCCGCCGTTGAATCCTCCTTTGATAGCGTTGAAAACAGAGACGACTTAACCGCTTATACTCGTGGTTGAGTCTGACATAGTAGCATTTCAGTGGCAGTGTGCGGAGTGTAGTAAATCTTCTGAGAGCAGCCTTCTTAGTTCTTTTCAACGAGCGAAGATCTTTCGTCATCCACGGGATGCGAGAGTCGATATGGATGATTTTTGGAAACGTGTCTGTCAATGACATATGCCAAGACGTGAGAAAAGGTTTGTGCAGCAATGTTGACGTCTACAGGATCTAGAATATGCTCCCAATCTAGATTAGACAGCACATGGACGATACTGCAATGGTCAGCTCTACGGAAGTCATATGACACAGCGTTTGGAGTGCTGGTGAAATCATGGACAATATTATTTTCGATCACGATAACTAAAGCAGGGTGATGATGCACTACCTTGACTAAAGGTTCGGGTGCCGTGGAGAGGAAAGGAGCTGTATCACGAGCACTCACAAAGCAGAGATCCAGGGTGCGGTTGTTTTCATTCAACAGGCCATTGATTTGTGACAGAATTGCGGTACTATAACTGTCCAGGAGCTGGATGGTTCCTACGTGGAAAGATGAACGCTCGTGATCAGGACAAAAGAAACCACTATGGGTTGGAGTCCATGCAATGTCCGGTAGGTTAAAATCGCCAAGAACAATAACTTCGTCGGAAGGGCCTGCTTTGTCTGAAGCGGCCAAGACGGATCGACAATGTGCGTCAATAAGCTCCAAGTCACGGGTTCGATCTGGAGGAATGTACACTGCACAGAGAAGCAATTGACGATCACCAAGTTGAATAGCCACCCACATTTGTTCAACCCTGTTCCAGGAATCGTCCTCGATAACTTCTGCTTTCAGCTTGGAATTAACTGCGATAAGGACGCCTCCCCCAGTAGTTTTCCTACTATTATTCGTGTTTCGATCGCAGCGAAATATTTCGTAGCCAGCACCAAAGACATAGTTTGAAATGGTTCGATAATTGAGCCATGTTTCGGTCAAAACTAAAATGTCGTAGCAGTGATCCATGACGGCCAGATGATAATCTTCCACGAGGCCGTTCATACCACCAACGTTCTGATAGTAAATCGTTATGTCCGACCTCCGCTGTTCGGGAACAACGGAAGGTTCAGCGTGTAGTTGCATTTGGGAGCTGGTAGATGTCACTTGACGGAGGAAGGATGTTCGAGTAGGGTCGTTGCCAATAACAGGAATGTGGAAGACAAATACTCATTAATGGGTAATCATTTTACTCATAAGCCACTTTTTTCAAAATGTGTAGTTTTTACACATTGATGGGCACTTTCAAGTTAGCGTGTATGTCAAAATTCAAATTAATGCTGATACTTGATCTATCTGTTAAGGTCCTGGTTAAGGTTTTCTTCATTTTCAACTAAGTTGAATGTAGAAGGAATGATTTTTTATCAGCACTGCTAGCGATTACAAATGATTTACGATTTTTGGTAATTATGACAAATCAGGTTAAATCAGAGCGGCACCTGTGGTGTAGTGGTAAGCGTGATTACCTCTCACCCCAGAACGCCTGGGTTCAATCCGAATCGGGATGTTCTGAGGCATAACATCTCTGATCACACCTTCCTTCGGAAGGGAAGTAAAGCCGATGGTCCCCGGTCTATGAGTTGATGGGTCGATAGGTAGGGTCCAGGTGTGGGAGCTGCCTCCCTGGCGTCGGTAGCATTGGTGCTCAGCACGGAAAACAAAATCGACGGAAAACAAATCAAGGAAAAAAAGGGTAAATCAGGATGTTTATAGCAAATCAGGATAAATTAGGGGTGTATGATTTTATGAGAATGGACCCTAAAAAAACGGATAAATCCTGATAAATCAGGATACAGATGGCACTACCACCTTACCAAAGGTTAAATTATGGTATGCGTGAAAAAGCAGAATGGACCGTAGACACTCCGAACACCCCCTAGACTGTCTAAGTAGTTTAAAAACAGCCCCTTATCAAATTTCAAGTTTAATAAAAACTCCACGAATGGTTTAGCGGACAATTTAATTGCAATGATTACAATAGAAATTAAAGTGATCAGTTTTTGTTTTCAACATACTTGATGTGTTAACCAAATTGTAGTTTGTCATAGTACCATGCATGCTCAAATTTATTAGCCCAGCTCATGTCTGAAACTCGATGCAGCCACCATCAAATTCATTCGAAATAGGGCAGACACCTAGGCAATTCAGACAGAATTTCAACGTTCTGTGTTCTGTACAATTTATAAAGCATCAATTTACGGAGAAATCCATCTAAACAAACTACTCAAAACACGAAGCTTCATTACAAATGTTTACCACATGTTGATGACGCTTATTTTTTGCCTCTTGATGCAAAATAGGTAAACATTTGATTGCGTTAGTGAGTCCCATGGAATACGTAAAATTTAAAGGATTAGGTATTTTATACCAACGAGAGTTTATACTTTTGAAATTTAAACAAGATTACGATCGTACGATTTCCAAACATCAAACTGGTTGACGTCCTTCTAACCCCGCTTTCTGCATCATCAAAAAAAAAAACCCAATGTTTCATAACAAAATAATACTCAGTATCAGATCCCGAAGTAATACTGAAACCAGCCATCACCGGTTAAATCCGCTACCTTCCTGTGAATGAATCTATTCATTCTTATCAGCTTTACTTTCTATATAGGGGTAAGAGGGGCATAGTGAACAGGTGGGGCATAGTGAGCATCCCGTGCACCAGCTTGGACTTCCGGCCGTTCGGAACAAATTTATTGGTGGTGGGATCAATATCATAATGATATTGAACCAACTACCAGTTGATTTGCAGCTAGAGATCCAGGGCAAAACTGCGGGATGCTCACTATGCCTCACGTGTTTACTATGCCCCTCTACCGCATTTAACCCCAACACAAACCAGCAACACAAGTTTTCACTAACGTCATTTCGCCATAATTGCTTGCATAACGCCCGCGCTGAATACTGCTTGTTGTTGAAATTGCTTATGGCTCACCCAATGTTTTGACTAAATCTTTATTTTTTATGTTTTCTTCACGACCTATATTTTCAGATCATCCAGGAAACACCACCGGTGAGAATCAATCAGCCAACAAAAGCCACTAAGAACTAATATCGAAACGATTTTGTTCGCAAACTTCCTCATTTTTTGCACAATTACACGAACGGAACTATACGGTATACAACGCACGATATACATATATATTTAGACTAACACGGATCTCGAACATGGAAACAAACATATATTTAATCAACGAAAAAGAAAACCGGCGATCGATAGATTGAATACGATCGAATCCCGCAGAACGTAGAAACCGCTTATATATTTTTTTATCATACAAATGCATGGAAACATTTCGCTTGTGTTCCTATTATGGTTTGTTTCTTCAATCTAATATTGTGTCTTTTGCTAATTATCTGAATCGTATTTAAGTTTGTCGAGCGATGTGAGCCACTCTTGCGTTCGAATACGGCTTGAACTATTATTATTATTTAAAAACAGATCGCTTTCGCGTAATCGCAAACGGTTTTACTTTCCGCTTTAACGCGCTACTAATCTCACAGACAGACAGCTGAGCGCTGGACGGCAAGTTTCGAATAGAGTTGAGCTTAAAGGTTTATGTATTATTAAAACAGGAAGGTGTTTATTAGTTACGAGACAGGGAAAAAATGGCACAGTTTTTTGTTCGTTTGTTTTGCAGTATACATAAACAATTTAACACTTTCTCGCTATCATACTTTACAGAACAAAGTCAAACACGATATTTATACAGATTCAGCAATAAAACAAAATAATGGTAAACGCTAGGACCCTACAGGGTTATTCACAGCTCGAAAGAAAGCCCTTCAGTAGGTTGATTTGCTCCTGGACCGCGATCTTGGAGGTTCCTCCGACGACGGTGTACTGTTCGACGCTGTTCTCGTAGTTCCACAGAGCGCTAACCGTCTCGTCGAAGCACGGGCTGATCTCCGTGAGGTCCTCCAAGGTGAGCTTGTTGATTGGGATTTTGACCTTCTCCGAAAATGCTACAACTTCTCCCGAAATGTGGTGAGCCTCTCGGAATGGAAGTCCCTTGCGCACCAGATAGTATGCCTAGGGGAGCGAAAGAAATCAAAACAAGAATTTCGTCATTAGTGGAACAGTTATCAAAAGGTCAAACTAGGTTAGACAATCTTACCATGTCCGTTGCAAGCATGTCGTAACTGAGAGCACTCAGGCAGCGTTCCTCGTCCACTTTCATCGTCGTTATCACTCCGGTCATTAGCGTCAGTGTGAGCAAAATCTGATCGTAAACAGCAAACATACCACTCTTATCGCACTGCAAATCTTTGTTGTACGTCGACGGCAGGCCTTTCAGGGTCATCAGCAGTCCACAGTGTTGACCAAAGATGCTGCCCGAAATTCCTCGAATCAGCTCCAAACTGTCCGGATTCCGCTTCTGTGGCATCAAACTACTGCCCGTCGTGTACTCTTCGGATAGTTCCAAAAAGTTATACTCCTTCGTGGAGAATAGAATCAGATCTTCGGCCAGTCGACTCATGTGAATTCCGGCCAGGGTGCAAATGAAGTTGAATTCCACCACAAAGTCACGATCGCTGACCGTATTCATACTGTTCTCGGATACCCCGTTGAATCCTAGGTCAGCTGCCAGCTGGTGACGATTGATGTTGAACGGATTTCCCGCCAACGCTCCACTGCCCAGAGGAAGTACATTCATTCGCTTCAAAAACTCCGTGAACCTCTGGTAGTCCTCTTTGAAGTAGAACGCATAGCTTAAGATCCAATGACTGAACCTCACTGGTTGGGCCTTCTGCATGTGCGTATAACCCGGCATCAGCACTCCAATATACTTCTCCGCAACATCGGTAATCCCCATGATCAACTCACTCAACTGCTTCATCACCTCTTGCACCGAATTCCTCATCCACAATTTCATATCGACCACGACCTGCTCATTTCGGCTCCGCCCGGTATGCAACTTTCCACCAATCTGCAGCCCAATAATCTCGATCAATCGCCGTTCGTTCACCGTGTGCACATCCTCATCCCGTGGCATTAATTTGATCGTTCCCTTCTCCCACTCGGCTCTGATCGTCTCCAGTCCATAGCAAATCACTTTGAACTCACTCTGTGTCAGCAGTTTCGCCTCCGTCAAACTCTTCGCATAGGCAATACTTCCATCGATGTCCTCCGAGAACAGCCGCTTGTCGATCGTCAGCGAATTGTTCACTTTCGATAGGACGTGATCGGTTCCTTTGGAGTATCGACCACCCCACAGCTTGAATGGGGTCGCCGCAATCTCTTCCCGTCGAGAGCTCATCTTTCAACTTGGACTGAATAATCCGCAACTAAACACAACCACTGACTGACTGATCCGGGGCCGGAGTGGTGCATCGGTTTAAATAAGGATTCAGCGCCGGTGCCGGTGTTATCAGCGATGAACTCGATGCTCTCCTACTCAAGTCGAGGAGAGAAGAGCACAACGCTTGATTAGTGCTCAGAGTCCTTTTGCGTTTCAAGAGTACAAAGGGAGAGAATTTAGTCTTATCAATGCGCGGAGCAAGCATTTTTTTTCCCGCTAATCATTGTGATTTTCTTACAGATGCACTTTTACTACGTAAAAGTGGGTTGTGTAAGCTGGGCGATCTACGTAGATGATCGCGGTATTTACGTTGCAGAGACGTAAAAGTGATTGGCGAACTTTTAATCGGATGAGTAGGTATGCATCATTCAGGAATTCAATGCGATATCGAATCATAGAACCATTATTACTATCATTATTAAAGGTTGAACACGAAAAAGTCCGGACTCATAAATAAAGTTGCCTTTAAGGTATTTTTTGAATAAGATTTTTCAAAATTTCACTGAATCAAGCTAGGATTGTATAGAATCACAGTAGGCATTGGTTGTCAGTATAAATTCATTTGTTTGCACCATGGCTTCACCGGAGCATTTCGATTCGATCCTGCACGCTCGAACCACAAATCCCGGACTATCCGCTCCTGGCAGTTTCGATCAAATTCCTGGGCAGGAATTTTATACCTCGGTTGACCGGAAGAGTGCCCGGAAGAAAAATTCCATGTCTGGCAAACAATCTGCAGTTGTGGGCTGAAAAGCGAAACTTATGTTACTTCTGGGACCATGAACCAGCAAATTTACCAAGCACTCCTGCGGAAAAGACTACTGCCTTTTCTGGAGCAGCATGAGATGGATTGTCTATTCTGGCCGGACTTGGCAAGCTGCCACTACTCAAATTCCACCAAACAGCGAAAATGGCGTCACAGTGCTTCCCAAGGAGATGAATCCAGCAAATACTCCGGAACTAAGGTCAACTGTGAAGCACATACAGAAGAAAAAGGGTGGAACAGCAATTGACCTGAAGGATTTCAGACGGAAATGGAATTTAGCAGCCAAATAAGTGGGAACAGGACCAGGGCTGGAAAATGTCATTTTCAATGAAAGATCTCACGCGATATTTACAGAGATACTTCTGTCACTATCATTGGATGAGAAAACGATGATAGAGATTTTCTTCAAAATCTCATCGAATTTTTCGTCATGACAAAACGTGACAGTGTTGTGGTCATCGTAATTACTAGCTCATTTATTGCTTTTTAAAGTTACTTGTGCCGAGAAAATCGTAATACCGATTACATACGGTTTCTTGCTTGAATTAATCTAAATCAGTTATAAATGTAGATGTTAAAACCGCAATAGAGTTATTCTCATGACTGCTTGATCATTGGAAAATGACAAGAAAGCTAATGATAGGTAGTTTCGTCTCGTGATAGCGAGAGGACCTGTTTTCTCATTCTCACACGACGGCCGTGATATTTACCAGCTCTGAACAGGACTCGTGCAAAAGATGATGGGCCGTGTACGAAGAAAAGTTTGAGCAATGGCCTATGGTAAGAAAGACGACTGAAACAATGGTCTTACAATAAGCTGTTACATTAAATAAATAAAGAAAAAATGTTACATTGAATTATGAAATTTTTAAAACCCAACAAGATTTTCGTGTCCGGATTTTTTCGTGTTCAACCTTTATAGTCACTTTAACACTCTTGGGTCATTCGTAACTTGTGACCGGGATGAGATTTGAGCTCGTGACTTTGGCGTGAGAGGTCATAGAACCATAGTTAAAATAAGTTAAAATTACATTCTGGTTGGACTACGATTACTCTAGAATTTGACCTTTTTAATACATCGACAATCACAATCTCAACCACAGTGTTCAAAATACAATTACTCATTTGCTAAGGTGCTCAACTTAATCAAAACCATGCCCCCACAGAGCACTGACCTTTGATGTAAAAAAATCGTAGGTATTTCTAGAACCGAATCTTGTTTGTTTTGCTCTGGAAGCGTGATTAGGATTTTTTGTTCTGTTTTGAAAAACAGCATGGCGATAAGTAGGCCACGATCGCCGCGAATTGAGAATGGACAGGTATGTTATACATATGTACATATTTAACCACGAGCCTAGTGCAAAGCTGTTTGTTGCTTGTTTTCCAAAAATTGGCTTGTAATTACGGAAAATTTTGAGGTTTCGAATTCATCTTGTTGATAACGCTTTACAGAGAAGTTTGGTGTTTATTGTTTAATTCCACTGTCCGACATGATTATCAAGAACAGATATGAGCTTCTCGACTGCAATGTTGAGACTTCGTTAGTTTATTAGGGGCTGTCCACAAACAACGTAGACAGTTTTTGACTTCGGAACCTACATTGAAAATGAAGTTGATACTTTTTTCGGCTGTGGAAACAATACATTTAATTGTTATTTTATCGTTGTGGAGAATACGATTTATTGTAAATACATAAAAACTCCATTGTATGGTTACAATACATTCCATTGTACTTCTATGGTTCTGTTTTTTTACGGGTAAGCAATCACTTTATGATATTTTGCGTGTTTATAAGGTCGAAAACGTTTTTGAAGTCCCAATTCCTCAAGAATGCGTTTCATGAAACATTTCCAGAGCTCAAATGCAATTTATATTCGTAATAACTTTTCATATAATAAATCTTTTGAATGAGGCCAGAGCCCAATGGTTACACGCACAATTTTCTTTTAAATTCTGTTATTGTACACTTTGTATCTAAGTATTGCACACCCATAAAATACGGCTATATGTATCTTAGAATGCAATTATTCAACAATAAAAATCATTTAGTCGTTCGATGATTGAACGTAACATTTAGTTTATGTACGCGCTGCAAGGTGCGTGAAAGAGCTGGGCACGATCGGTGTTGATGTTGGTTCACTTGCAACTATTTTTGCAAAAAATAAAAAAAAAATTAAGTTTTTTCGAAAGATATCGAAAGTGTACCAAAAGTGCTTCTGAACGTGTTTCGCAGTTGGATGGTGAAATTCGCGGTTGTTTTCAGTGAAAATTCCGTATCACAAATTTTCTCACCGAGTTCCCTTTTTTTTGCCGTTCGACGACATCGGGAATGCGCTCCCGGATATATTGATTTGGTGAGTACGTTCCAGTTGAGGATTGTTCTTGTACATTTCTCGATTGCATTTTCGAGGGGACGTGTCTGCTTTTGTGGGCAGTGCGTTTGATGGTCGGTTTGGTAGTATCCTTTTAAATAAAATATCTCATGTCCAAATAACCTCGATTTTCGGTCTATTGATTCAATACTTCAGTATTATATTTTCAAAACATACAATTATGCATTATGTCATTTCATGGCACATAAAACAAAAAGTCTGCGTATAGGACCCAATAATCTAGGTTATTTGTATTTTGTAAAACATCTTTATTTTTTATTATATTTTTCATTCTACTGCATATTTTATATACATTATATATTACATGATTATATATAAATTCATAATGTAAATTACAATAAATACTGGGAGGGGAGGGAGCATCAGGGCATCATTGAAGTTGTAACTGGACAATGGAGTGGAGTGCCAACCGGAGTCTAGGAGGGAATGTGTACTGTCATTTTAGATAGTTACATTTCACTCCAACAGTTGCAATGAATTTGACACGCTATCCCGTGGAAAGCTTAACATGTATTGCGAATTTCGTTATTCATTTTGTTGGATCATATTGTTGGAAGGAGATTCTCTTATTCTCGCGGGTTTCGCGTAAGTGCCTCTGCTTACGGGCCCGTCCAACCCTTTTTGGCCCTTCATACAACAGTATGTTGAATTCAGAATGATGACGGAATTTGATCTTGCTGTTGAGTGGAGCCGCATGCAGGGCAAGACCCAAGCTAGGATGGTGGCTACTTACATACATACATACATACGATGGTTGAACTTAACATTTCGGTATATTGTACTTACGATATCAGTTTTTTTTTATTTACTTTATTGAACCGGTCAATCATAGAAGGAAAAACCCGAATTTATCCACCTATGGTGTGATCAGACCCTTCTTACTTATTCAAGTTTATTTATTTTATTGTCATTATCAGTGACCAAGCCCCCCACCCCCGTGTCATCCAGTGACGCTACGCCACTGCCTGGGAGTACCCGGAATATATCCGGGTGTAGTCTATTTGGTGAGGCTACCAATCACCTTATCATCGTATTTTATTGTGATTTAATGGGTTTTAATTCAATTCATATTCAAGCAACTTCCCTGGGGTACCCGGAACATGTCCAAGTGTGTCCAATGTGGTCTGGAACACTTAACACGACTTGCATTGATCTTATTTTTGAATTCTGTAGTAATTTGATGTGTCGCATGATGGTTTTGATACGTTTTCCGTTAAATCCAGCGTGAAGGCCCATATTCACCGGATCTTATTCCGGCCATATCTCCGGAACCGGTTCACCGATTCCAAAACTATTATAGAGATATTCAATAGCGTTCAATGGGACCCCAAGACCTATCATTTGACGCCGAGTTTGTCCAAATCGGTTGAGCGGTTGCTGAGAAACGTGAGCGCATTCATTTCGTTACATACACACACACATCCACACATACACACGTACACACACACACACACACGGACATGTTCCGATCTCGTCGAGCTGAGTCGAATGGTATATGACACTTGGCCCTCCGGGCCTCGGATCGATAGTCGGTTTTTCAAGTGATATCTATACCCTTCTTTGTAAGAAGGGTAAAAATACGCAGCAACTGTTTTGTATGAAACGTTGCATACCTTTAGGCGTTATATCCATAGTCAATATCAATAATAAAGAAAAAAATACGATCCAATTATATTGAACATTAATATTTGTTCTGTAAATTTTATATGACGGATATATGTACTGCAATAGATCGTTAGATACAAAATTAACCAGCATTTCACTGTAAATAATACTTAAGTTAATTGAATTTTAAGCTGGTAAAAGCTTATTTTACAAACCATAATATGGGTAAATTTAAGTCGATTTT